CTCCATCTCAAAAAAAAAAAAAAAATGTTCTCTTGTTTCAGTCACTGGAGTAGCTGGGACTACAGGCACCCACCACAAGGGTCTGCTATTTTTTAGAGATGGAATCTCGTTCTTGCTTGGGCTGGTCTCAAACCCGTGAGCTTAGGCAATCCACCTGCTTTGGCTTCCCAGAGTGCTAGGATTACAGGTGTGAGCCCGCGTGCCTGACCCACTCAAAGATGATTTTTAAGCAGCCAGCAACATTGCTGTGGTGCACATGCCATATCCAACCACAGATGTCTCAGTATGTTACACTTAGAGTGTCACAACTAGGCTGTCACCAAGTGTTAGTAGGAATTCTAAGTACTAAATTCACAGGCCCAGGCTGAGCACAGTAGCTCACCTCTGTAATCCTAGCACTCTGGGAGGCGGAGGCAGGTGGATTGCTTGAACTCAGGAGTTAGAGACCAGACGAAGCAAGAGTGAGGCCCCATCTCTAAAAAGAGCTGGGCAGGTACTGTGGCGGGCACCTATAGTCCCAGCTACTCAGGAGGCTGAGGCAAGGGAATTGTTTGAGCCCAAGAGGCTGAAGTTGCTGTGAGCTCTGACACCCCGGCACTCTACCAAGGGTGACAAAATGAGACTCTGTCTCCAAAATAAATAAATTATAAATTTCACAGGCCCAGTTCTACAAATGATGGTTGAAGTGCATATGATTGCAAAGGAGGCCTAAATGACCAGGCTTAATGCAAACTTATACATTTCTTCAAGATTTGTTTCCACATTAATGCTTCTACCTAAAGTCATTGAAGAGATTCCCAAGTTCCAAGAAGTATAAGACTGACTCAAAGCATAGACAGAGACCTCATTCCCATATGTTAAGGCAATCGCCACCCTGAAGCACTCCTTGTTACAGCAGCAACATGCCCTAAGCTGGCCTCCCTGTATCACTTACCAGAAACGATTCCTGCTAGGAAGAACTATTGGCTAAGCATCACTTACCAGAAACAATTCCTACAGTGAAGAACAGGGGTCCTCAAACTTTTTAAAC